GGGGGGGGGGGGGGGGGGGGGATGGCAGGGGAAGTTGGAAGGAAAGAAGTCTGTTGTAATTGGTGTCTAGAAACCCCCACAGAGAGGATTAAGAAAGAAACTATGCTGTCTGGGAAGAAGTAGGCATTTGTGTTACTCTGCATATACACAGAACTGCTAGAAAAGGCTGTGCTCTGTGGAAAGTGGCCCTAGCTTTTTGAACACTGAGATGTGTCACTGTCTGCTGATGGTACTTCKTTTAAGCAGAATTTTATTCAATGTGCTTTTCCTTTTTGTATGTGTACCAGTGCCTTATGTGGAAGGGAATCACGGTTGCTTTCTATTGTGTGTAATGTGAAGCTCACACTTCAAACCAAAGGAAGTTACTTGGGCAGCACAAGCCCAGAATTCTGCTGTGTGTTATCACAGAAGCATTTATGAATTGTCAGGCACTGAGTTTTGATATCTTTTCCCTTCAGTCCTGAGGTACACAGTGTTTACCCCGTAGCTCACTGCACCCTCGTGTTCTGCCACTCGGCTGTGTAACTCACTGAATAGCAGGAGCGAGCAGAGGGTTGTGCTGTATGCCTCATCCTCTAGCATTTCTCTGGATTCATCTGCAGAATGAGTAGGTAGTCTCTTGTTCTTGCACGAGAAGGAAACAGAAATATTCTTCAAGAAAGATTTTTCCAGTTCTTTGTTTCCACATTGGAAGACGAGGTTTGTCTTTGGAGGAACAGAGGAACCCTGTTTGAYTAACCCAGACGACTGAGGTTTGTCACTACCTAGAATCAAAGAAGCACCTAATTTCTGTGACATTTCACAGAATGGGTCAGGTTGGAAGGGATTGTGGGAGGCGTCATCTGCTGCAACCTCCCTGCTCAGGCAGGGTCATCGCAGAGCACTTGGCACATAATTGTGTCCAAATGGTTCTCAAAAGTTTCCAGTGAGGGAGACYCYACAACCTCTCTGGGCAGTCTGTTCCAATGCTCTGTCACCTGCACAGTGAAGAASTTCTTCCTCATATTCAGGTGGAACTTCCTGAACCAGAGCATCAGGTTTCTGCCCATTGCCTCATGTCCTAGTCTGGCAGYGAGAAGAGCCTGGTCCATCGTCTTGAGATCCTCACTGCAGATAGCTATAGACATTGGTGAGGTGCCCTGTCAGACATCTCTTCTGGAGGATGAACAGGCCCAKCTCCCTCMGCCTTTACTCACARGAGATGCTCCAGTCYCTTAATTATCCTTATTCCGCTCTGCTGGACCTGCTCCAGGGCGTCCACGTCTCTCTTGGACTGAGGAGCYCAGAACTGGACRCKGCACTCCAGATGCGCCTCACCGGGGCTGAGCGGAGACGAAGCATTTGCAGTGGAGTAGAAGTAAGCACAGATGCACTAACTTGAGGCTGGGTTATGCAGAGCAACGGGACATGCCACAGAGTAACACGGATTTCAAGAGTGTCATGAGAGACACCAAGGATCAGTCCTGTATAGCCACACCGTCCTTCCTGACCTGAACCCAGCAGGGGCTGGGGCTGGGGCAGAGGTTGGGGCAGAGGTTGGAGCAGGCACAACTGCGGCCATGCTCGGGATCCCCAGAGAGCCAGGGAAGACCCTTTCGGAAAATCCCTCTCTGGAAGAGGCTGGGTGGGGAAGCGGGAGGGGGCCCGGCAGCACAGGCTGGGATCCGGAGGGAAGCCGGTGCCGCCCAGCGACCCGCCCAGCGGAGCGGCTCCGAGGGGAGGCTGCCTGCGGCCGGGGGAGCCGGCGGGGCGTGCGGCACACACAGGATGGCGATGGCCGCGGAAGTGACAGCAGTGGCTGCAGCCGCCGCCGAGTGCGGGATCTCGCAGCGCCCCCACCCCCATTTGCCGTCGCTGGGCCTCTGCGAAGGAAAGCAGGTCGGGGGGGCGGAGAGAGAATGGAGGAGGGGCACGGCGAGGAAGGGAGGGAGGGAGGGAGCGGGGAGAGAAAGCGAGAGAGAGAGAGCAGCCCGGAGAAAGGGACAAGGCAGATCCTGGGAAGCGAGAGCGAGAGAGACTCCTGCAGGAGGGGGACCCTGGGCGGGGAGAGGACATTGCCAGCGAAGGGCCCGGAGGGGAGCGAAAGGATCGGGACTGCTCGCAAGCGTCCGACTTGTTGAAAGACGTCGAGCGAGGGTCAGAGGCTGTGCCCGGGGCCGGGGGACAAAGCGGAGCGAGAGGGAGCTGGCGCTGGCCCGCCGGGATGGTGCAACTCGCGCGGTGAAAATGGTCTTTGTCCAACTTTTCTGATGCCGGGARGCCGGGCGGCACGGCTGTAGCGGGAAGGGCTTCTGCGAACACTGCTCGAGTAATGCTGGGAAGTGGAGGGGGTGTTGCTGGAGTCCTGCACAAGGTACCGTGGCGAGGATGGGCATTGTGATTCCGGCCGGAGCGCTSGGAGCGAGCGGGACGCGGTCGCGGGTACCCGCGGGGCTCTGCCGTCCGGGGRAAGGGCGGGCACTGAACAAACACGGACTGCTTCGAAAGGGGTTAAAACTCCTCGGGTCGTTTTTTCCTCCTTTGGCGGCGTGTGCTGTTGAAAGGCGGCGTTGCTGGACTCTGCCCCGAGCGCACCGCTGCTGTCAGGTGCTGGGGGCAGACACGAGGGGAATCGGGTCACGGCCTCTCACGGAGATTGCCATCGCACGCAGAGCGCTTCCATACAGCCATGGTGCGTTGGGTCTGCTCCGTGAGCGGTGTTTCCCCTCTCTCTAGCCCCCGAAGAGCCGCAGGGCAGTGCTGCCTTTGAAGTCTCTGAAGTGGGGCTTGATGGATGCTGGTGTCTGTTCCCGATCCTCGTGGAACGACACAAGAGGGGCTGTGTGGCCTTGGCCGTGGGTAGGGTTGCTCAGCACTCTTGTGGGGGACAGATGGCTGCATGAGTGCTTGTGGCAGAGAAAAGCCATGTTAGGCTATTTTTCAAGGAGATGATGCAAGTTACTACTACTCAAGCTAAATAAATCTGTGAATGTGGGAGGGGCTGTTGTGATGGGTAATTTTAATTTTGCCTTTTGTGGGATCCACTGAGGTGATTTCACTTACTCTGAAGTTTCCCTTGCTATTATCACACTCATTTGGTTGGACAGGAGAGTGAGTACCACCTGCCTTTCCTACAAGTTCCAGAAATCAACGAGTAAAGATGGGGAAGCAAATCTCCCAAGGGGCATCCTTCACTGGCAGTCAWACCAAGTCATGCAGATTCAGGATGAGGGGGAGTGGGAGGGCAAATGGGAACAACAAAGTCAAGAAGAGTAGCTGCCATCAGGCACATCTTACAGAGAAAAATCTGTAGCCTCAGCTGGGATGAAGGAGGAGGCTTCCTTTTTCATTGTCATATAGGTTCTAATCCGAAACACGGAACTGGATGTGGGTGCACCTATTGTTTACTCGCAGCTGATGCACCCGCCCTAAGAGATTAATGCAAGATTTATTGGCTGGTTTTAGATATTTCTTCATTCCCAGTTTGAAATAACTCCAATGCTGATGTTCCTTTGGGAGAAGGAAAGGAAAGGGAAAGGGAAAGGGAAAGGGAAAGGAAAGGAAAGGAAAGGAAAGGAAAGGAAAGGAAAGGAAAGGAAAGGAAAGGAAAGGAAAGGAAAGGAAAGGAAAGGAAAGGAAAGGAAA